CACCTGGTTAGATGGTGAAAGATGGAGAGAAACTGTTTCCTTGGCAGCTGTTTGCAGAGTTGAACTGACTATCAAAGAGAAGGGATTATGAGCTGAGCACCTCTGCCAGGCTGGGACCATATGTGGGTTTGAGCAGTCCTGCAGAATCACAGAAATGCTGGCCTGGAGGGGATCTTGGTGGCTGTGTGGTTCAGCCTCCTACCTGAAGCAGGGCTATGGCCAACACTCATGTGGTTGGCTGTGCCTCTGTCTCACCAGATCTTGAAGATCTCTGCAGATGGTGACTCTACTACCTCCCTGGGCACTTGTTACAATGACACATCCTTGTATCAGGAACCTGTAAGTGTTTATCCTCTCTAAACTTACTCACACCCCTTCTCACGTCCTCGGACATGAGGTTCTTTGACATCTATAGGGGTCTCCATATATAGGAGATCAGTGGTCTGAAATGACTGCTCTGAGAAATCTCCTGCACTTGAACAGATCTTGGCCATAGATAGTCTGAGTCACTCTGGCATTACACTCTACTTGACATCAGGAATTAGTCTGAATTTAGTCTATGGCTAAAATTCGGAATTATGGTAATGATATAATTTTTATTAATACAAATATTATTATGTAATAATAATAAAAATAATAAGTATTAATACACATTAATAGTCCAAACTCACTACAAACCTAAAAATAATGTAAAATGCTGACTGAAAATGCATAACTACATTAATCCTTTTCTACAAACTCTTCCAGTTGCATTTCCTTCTTTCATAGTGAATAATAGGCATTCAGCTGCACACAGCCACCTTCTGCTCCTGTTCTCCTGCTCTGATCAGTCACAAGGTTGGTAAAATGCATTTGGTTTTTTGAGCACAGGTACAGCAACAGCAGGAAAACCTGGCCAATTTATCTGAGAATAATGGTATACTTCTTCACCTAGCTGATTATCTCTCCACTTTGGGGGTCATGCCTTATTCATTCTTTTCTTGCATACATTATACTGCAATGGTAAGGTAAACAAAATTAAAATCAACTTGGTTACATTGCTTGGTCAGAGCAAAGATCAGACATTTCCCCCAGAGCAATTCTGACTTTTTCTTGTCTGACAAGAAATGCTGCAGCTCCCTCAGCTGAGGCTATACGAGGGCAGGGGGGGTCACAGCTGATTTTGCTTCTGGGCAGAGACTGAGCTTCTGTAATTCTCAGAAACTCCAGACTACTTGCAGATAGCAAGACAGCAGAGGGCACACTGCAATCACTGCAGGTACAGGGGCTCAGGAGCAGCACGTGGTTCCATCACACAGTAAACACACAGAGATGTCTCTGATGTACCTGTTCAAGGAAAAAGGAGAGTGTGCCATCCAGATGAGACAGAGCCCATAAAAAGGGTAGGGAAGAGAAAGGGAAGTGGGAAGCAGTGATGCCCCAGATGAGGTGACAGCAGACAGGCTGGAAGAAGCTATGTGTGGAGCTCCTGAAGAGCAGCTGGTGTAAGGAGGTCATTAGAGTTTCACTGCAATACAAGGGAAAACATGAAATAACTCTCCATGTCCTGCAGGTTCAAAGTATTTCAACTTGGCAAGACTTTCATCTGTCCTATCTTCCAAAACAATAAAAAAACCCAACAAAAATCAACAGCGACGACACCAAACCCCCATAGTGTGATATCAGATGGATCACTGCCCAAAACAATAGTGGGGTTCAAGCCATTTCTAAGAGGGAACCTCTGTAAATGGATTGGCTGGAGGAGAGGCTGCTGCCTGTACTCAGTCAGCACATCCCACTGAGGTTGGTAGGTATATGGGTGTCTGCTGCCCAGCCACTCCTGGTGACATTGTGACCCAGCCCTAGCTTCCCAGTCTGATTCCTTCATTCCTACCTTTTCCTGGTCCTTCCTGTACTCAGAGCTGTTTTCTCATTCCAGTCCTCTTTGCTCTCCAGTCACTGCCTCCCCTCCTCATAACTGCTCCCTGCTTGCTTTCTTTACTTGCCCCACAAAGTATCTATCTGCCTTCATCTTTGAGGCTCAGCCTCCTTCTACTTCTCACCACCATTTCCCCAAACATCCATCTCTTGATCCTAGACTCCTTCCTCCAGCTTTTGGTCCAGTCACTCACCCTTCCCAGCCTCCTTTCTCAGGCTGTCCACAGCCCCTCCAGCTCAGCTGCTTCTGGCTGTGTCTTCCCACTCTCAGTCTCATCTCCCTCTGTGCTCCAGATGCTACAGTTCCTGTACTACATGTTCCTGGTCAGTCTTCACTACTCACAATCACTGACATCTCCCTGCTTCAGGTCCAGGAGGCTTGTCCCAGTATAATCCATTTTCTTCCCACCTGGTCCTCCCTACTCTGCACTACAGGTAAATGTCTTTCCTTTCCCAGGTTGCTTGCGCAACTGGCAAAGGCATCAGAACAGCACAGAAATAATGGACTTCCTGCCTCCAAATGGAAAACAATGGGTAAACTTGTCCATCCTGAGAACAAACTCCTGCTGCTGCCCTCACCCAAACCTAGGAAGATCAAAGCAGGTACCCACATACCCATCCAGCTTGTGAGAAGTGTGGGGGCCATGGCAGTGTCTTTCAATTGATGTGATGACAAGGAGATATGGACATTGTGCCCTCCTCAGACACAGCTCCATTTTACCTCCTTATGGTTGATTATCTTTCAAACAGAAGTACTGCTCTGTAGTGGAAATGCCTCATTTTAGTGTTTGTGTGTGGAAACACACTAAAGCAAAGCCCTCTTAAGACAGCCAGATTTGTATCCTTGGGAAAAGCAATAGATGCTCTGTGGAGAAATGTTCAACCTTGGGTCATTCTCTGACAGGAGATGAGAAAGACCATGAAACTGGCGGCTGCAGTCCTGCATTCCTAATAATAGTAACTAACTTCAACTTGATCTTCCTGATGGACAGATAAGATTGCACCAAATCTTTCCAGCATTTCACAGAGTGAAGAAAACACAAGATAAAGCCATTTGTTTCCCTTTCCATGCTGCTGGCATGGCTGATCTCAGTAAAATAAAGGCAGAAGGAAATAGGCTGGAGCTGGGAAGGCTGAGTACAGCAGGAGGGGAAAAAGAACTTGTGGCTAAAATGTTTGGCCAAGGCTGGGACTTGGTAAAGGAAGGTAAAGAAAGAGAAAGAGAGGAGAGGCATGTTTAGGGGAACATATTCCATCTGAAAAAATATCTGCTATTTCTCCACCATAGCAGCCTATTGTAGCATTTTCTGCAAAAGAAAAAACATTCCAACAGGCACATTCTTTTCTTTCCTTAGAAATCTGACCACTGGTAGAGCCAACAAGACAACCTCTCTCTTACAGTGTATTACAAAACTTTGCCCTGGCTGCCAAACATTCACCGTTTATTTGAACTGAAATTTTCCATTCTTGCTTTCTGTCTCAGACATGTATTTCCTTTTAAATTCTTACAGAAATAGCATTCTTGTGTTCTGAAAGGGGCTTGGGAAAAGAATAGTTTTAACAGTGCAGATTTGTTTTTTCAACCATTCCAGAAAGGGGTAGAAATTCAAGGAGCTGAAGCAATAACTTTAGATGAGAGAGAGGATCCAATCCTTTTTTTTTTTTCCTTTTTTTTCCACCAGATCCTTGACTGTCCTTAACAGACCCCTCAGGAAACTGTTTGAATTTATCAGCACAAATATCAGTCTTTCTGGGCTACAGCTAACTGCTTCCTGTGATCAGCTGATAGAAATAACCAGCACACCTTGGCTAAAAACTGGATCCTGATTTCTTTGATTTTACAGAGGAGCTCACTCTCCTAAAACTTGGCAACCTGGTACATTCCTTAATATAAAAAAAAGAAATCAAAAAGCTCTCCTCCCACCCTTTCATGGCTTTACTCTTTCTTACAATACTTGCAGTGTTGTAGCAAGACTATGAAATGTGGTAGGGTACATATATCAGGAAAAGATAACTTTTTGTAATATGGTCTCATGAAAATCTGTTCAGATTTTGGGTTTAAATACAAAATGTCACAAATTTCCATTTCCTCTCTGTGACTGGCATAGCACAGCTTGTGGTTCTGGCCACTTGCCACAACTCCATGACAGTTTTATTGCCATGTGTAAGTTCTGGCCCTGTGTCCTGCCACTTTCCAAAGAACTTTGATCCAGCTGATCTATTGCCAGGTGTGAAGATGTGGCTGAATGTGATACAGGAAAACTCTTTGATTACTGATGTCTGGGTGCATGCATATATATGAAATAGTGTAGGATTACTAGAACACTGGACCACAGTATTCTTGTAGACAGAACAAGGTGGATTGGGTTAGATGAGGGGACTACAAAGTGAGTAAAAACACACTGGACAGGGGAACTCAAAGTGTAGAGGTCAACATTCCAAAGACTAATGGGAAAATGGGAAGCTACTTAGGAGTAACATTCCTCAAGGGATTAATACCATTTAACATGCTTATCAACAAGAGAAAAAGGAGGCAGAGAACATCTTGAAGAGCTCACAGATGGTACAAACTTGGAATAGTGGTGGGTGTTCTGGAGGGCAGCACTGCCATTCAGAAGGACCTAAATAAGCTGGAGAAAAGGGTTGGCAGACATCTCACCAAGTTCAACAGTGACAAGCAGAAAGTTTTGCAGCGCTTGCCAGTGCAGGCTGTCTGCTGACTGCTCAGGAAACACCTCTGCAGAAAGGCTTTAGGGTCCCAAAAGACTACTGATTAAAATCAAAAGTGCACTCAGCAGCTACGTAGGACAAGGGCATACTGGACTGCAGAAACAAGAGAGCAAGTCAAGGAAAGGGATAATTTCCCTCTGTTCAACACTCATGAGGCTGCATCTGGAGCCTTCTTTCCTGTTCTTTTCTTCCCAGGGTATGAATGATATTCATATACTAAGTGGGGTACACCAAGAAAATAAGGAATATGAAGCACTTAATGTGTAAGGAAAGACCGAGGAACCTGCGTTTGCTCATACTGGAGTAAAGATAGTTGTTGGGGACTTACTTGATGTCTTTGACTAACAGGAGGGTTATGGGAGTCAGACTCTTCACAAGGGTCCAAGCTGAAAGGATGAGAAGCAATGGGCACAGTTGCAGTAAAGGAAATTCCACAGTTTATAATCTCAAGTGCATGTTCCCAGACTCATTCCTCTTATATGACATCCATTCTGGGATGACATCCTAGACTCTTTCATCTTGGTGACATCCACCCTGAGGCCCTCTTTTCTACCAAATCTGTCCCTCAAAACCAGTACCTGAGAAGTCTGAGCCCTTCCAGTTAAGTAACCCCACTCTCTGGGAGCTCAGACTGCTGATACCTTTTGGCTCAACCCTCCAAAGACAGCACAGCAGGACTGAAAGCAGCACAAGTTTCAGGGAAGATCTCACTGAACTATTTACATTCTTCAATGTCCTAAAATGTTAAAATTACAGACCCTTGAAAACATCTCAGATCCCATGAGATGCTGGTATTTTTGGTGAGCCTGGAACTTTTGGGTAAGCGTGGACTGACTTGTCTACTTTTGCAAATGCATATTGGATGTGATGTTGGTTAGTCCACCTTCAGAATTAACTCTCTTTTCTTCTCCCTGCATGCTCTGGTTGGAGAAGGCAATTGCACAATCCTGCTGTCCATCTTCCTGCCACTGTTGCATTTTTGTTCTGATGGGCCAAAAATTAGGTGAAAGCTGGGACCAATGCAAAATATGGTGCGGTGTTCAAAGGGAAGATAAAAACATTACCTCTGCTTGAGCTAATCCTGCTTCAGTGCTTATTTGTCCCTTCATAGAAGTATGGGAAATTCAGGGGCTTCATCCTGGGCTTTCAGAGAAACAGGAGTTGGCCAAGTTTTTCTTTTGTCTTTTAGGCTTTGGTTCTAGCTGGGTCACATTTTCTATTATTTCACCTGAAACTGCAAGTTTCTTCTTTAAATTAATGAATGTTAAAATTTATAGAATCACTCAGGTTGGAAAATATACTTAAGATCATGGAGACCAGCTGTAAACCTCTCACTGCTAAGTCCCACTAAACCATGTCCCTAAACTGCAGTAGTCACTAGTCTGTCTAGTGTCTGACACTTAATACCATATAAAATGCCTGAAATCTTGCACATATCTGCACCAAAACAAGAGGAAATGGGATCCCAGAATCTCTTGCTGAATGTCTTTTAAAACTCACCTCCCTATTTTACATCCCATCTACAAAGTGGAAAATCTCAGAGCATGACATACCTTGTTGCCATTTGATTCAAATAAGGGGCAGCTGGAGGAGGCGGTGGACAGAAGAGGAAGAGCTTGGCACTGCATTTGAATTCTATTGTGTCTTTCAGTGAGCACAGCCCTTTCGGTGTGAATGGTCTTCCGGCTGGTGACAATGTTTCTAAGGCCAAAGATGATAAAAATTAATGGTACAATGTTGGAAAGGATGGATAAATATAATTATTCATAAATAATACAGCTAGGATGAGAACAGTCCTCCCTGCTGGCTGGACAATGCCCCTGCCTACGGATGGGTCCAGGGGTCAAGTGGACTGTTCCATCTCACACCCCAAAATGTATGGTTCACCCTGCACCTGTACCCTCCCCTAAAACATCAAGTGCCTGTAACCCCATTGGCCCGAGCCTTGTTCCAGCCCACCTTGAAGCCCCCTGAAAAGAGGGCTCTGAGGGGCCGGCGGCCTCTTGGAACTTCCCTTCCTCTTGGAACTTCCCCTCCTCTTAGAACTCCCCCTCTCCTAGAGCTTCCTTTTGTCTCTCCCCTCCCCCATCCTCTCAAGCCTGGCCGCGTGCTGTGTCTGGCAGCTCGAGGCAGGACCTTTCTCCATCCCTAATAAACCTTATATCCCAAGAGCAACCTTCAGAGATCTCTCGTCTCCATTCACCTAAACCGTCCTGGAGCAGCAGCGCTCGCTACAGTACAAATCTGTCTGTCTCCAACGATAGCTGGCTCCCAGCTCCTCACAGTGTGCCCCTACCCTCCCAAAACAGTAATCACACAGACAGCACGCAACATCCCAAGGACTTCTCCTGGACTCTCTCACCCTGCTGTCTTTACCTGATGAACTGCAGGCATCATTGTATGCTGAGTGAATGCTGCTTTTGTGGGATTCAGCACACTGCCATAGAATTTGTTAGGTAATGGTGTAGCTACACAACACCTACCTTTTGACAATAATTCACAATGAGTGTGGTATCTCTTCTAGAGAATACATCATTGTCAGTTTCTGCCAATAAAACAAACTCTGATTAATTTCTTGCAATAGTCTTTCTGGTCTGAGCACTAATGTCCATATTTCCTCCTACCTGTGGTTTCACATCATGTCAAAAACTTACACTTCTTTTCTATTTTTTTTTTTTTTGTCAAGCATTATAGCAACAATCCCCTTTAGCTATTCTTTTTTCAGATCCATTTCTCTAGGAATCACTTTCTCCTTATGTTTCATCCTTAATCTTTTCTCTGCAGACAATGTTTTGCTCATCCCAAAAGTCTGCAATAGCCAAGGGAGCTTGTTATTCTTGTGCAGGTCACTCTGCTCTCTTTGCTTCCTTTTAAAACAGAGCACATACCAATTCTGCTTTTCTTGCTATTTCTGATAACTTTAATGTAGGCACAGTTAAGTGCTGGACTATCGGTATGGATTTTTTCCTCAAACTCTTCTTTTTTTCCTTATCTGTATGAAATTTCAAGGAGGATATATCAGAAGAACTTGGTTTTCCTTGTTTATATTTTCCCTTTCAATTTGAATCTTTCTAGTTTTAGAGTTACATGTGAATTACTTGGTTGTACAGGAGCATGACGCTTGTGAAGAACATATCCTAAGAGACTGCAAATTTCTTGCAATGCTAGCCTGTGGTCCAGCATTATGCCAGAGAAAACTCTGACATCCAGACAATGGCAAACAAGGACTTTTCCAGGAATCTCATTTTGCAGCATTAGCTTCAGGTAATCTATAAACTACCAGAGGTTCTTCCTACTACTTTGACTGTCTGATGTGGTATTTTCCTTGCTTTTGCTGATTTAGCCTGATTTCAAAGAAACTGCTTTGGAGGTCTTGTTCAAGGTTTTCTTGCCATGATCCCTTCTTAGTTCTTCTAATTTATATCTTCCCCCAGTTCATGAGCCATGCATTTATGCTGCTCATGGTATAAATCTTGATAGGTATGTCAATATTCCTTGCAGTTGCTGACTTTGAGAGGGAAATTGCTGTTCATTAGCTTCTTTCTTTACTTTGAATCAAATCTGATGTCTCCCCTTTCTGCAGCATGGACAAAATAATTCAGTTCCTTTGCATGGATTTGCATTTTGCTGTGATTCAATTTCAGGCTGCAGTCTCTGCTTCTTGTAGGTAATGCTGTTAATTTTGGGGTGTTTTGTCATGTTTTCTCTGGGTCTGTCATTCATAAGAATGTTATCCAAAGTGACTCCTGCACTTCATCAGCTTCATATTATTTTAGGAATATTTTGGGAAATATCTCCAGCATAGGCAGCATTTTAAGAGGATTAAAATTGAAATGCTGTCTTAAAGTCATTAATATTCTGCTGCCTTTGTCCAGCCTGAACTGCCTGTACCTAGATGGAACACTAAGTACATGTAGTATATTTTGTGTAGAAAGCAGATAGGTGATCTCATCTTGGGTGTGTAAAGTGTGATGTTTTACTGCTTTCTTTCTGTCTCAATAGCCTTTGCAACTACAGATTATAATGATATTTCTCTCTTTCCCTGTGATTATTGTGAAATACCATTCCAGTGCTTTCTTTCTCCATTGGCTCAATTGTTTTTAGCTGAAGCACAGGCTCTGCTCCCCAGTCCTTTCTGAGTCTTGCTGCTGGTGGATGCCATGGTGTGTGTTCATTTTAGGCAGTAGCTACTTGTTTGCAGGGAGGGGTTGTGTTTGAATCCCAAGGGAGCCTGGTATGTCATCCTCAATGATTCCTGCTGATTCAATTCTCCTGCAGCAGAGGAGAAATTATCCATCATTCTCTGCTGCAGCACAGCTCCACTGCTGGACAAGTGCCCCATTCCAGCCTGGCAGGCACAATGAAACCACGGCAGGGAGCAGCAACGCCCAAGTGAAGAGGCAAGCCTGAGTTTCAGATGGGAAATTGAGAGCCCGTGGCAGGGTCAGGGCTCCCATCAGCAGGGTACCAGCCTGGCAGGAACACAGCCATAGTGCAGCTCAGGCAGCAGCCAAGCATGAGAGAGATGTGACTTCTAGCAGCATCCAGGATAAGGAAGGGGGGGTCTCCCATGAAAATATCTCAGTAGAGCTTAGCAGGGAATCCTCCACAAAAGCTTCTCCCAGATCCTCTTTTCTCACCACCTCTGACCAGCCAGCTGGTCTGAAGCTGCCAACCAAAATCCTAGGAGAGAGACAGTGCCCTCAGGGTCTTGACAAACTCTCCATTCTATGTCTTCAAAATCCAGGAAAACACTTGGTTTTCTCTTCTGTTAGGCAGATTTTGAATTTTTTTATCAAATTTTTTGTCCCAGGACCAGTTTTCCTGGCATTTTTATATCACAGCACTGGAGATACTTGACACCTTGATGTATGGTGTGTCTTCAACACTGCATTTCCCTGCTGTGCCAAATGCAGGTCTCTGCATCCTATCAGCCCTCACAACGGTGTTCATGGGACAGCTCAGGTTGTGCTTCTCCTTTACTCTATCCTAGGGTGGTAACTGGCCTGTAAAGTCATGAGAAGATCCAGTGTCACCAGTGTGTCTCCTAGGCCCTAGATATCATGGAAGTTCATACAGTCATGGAATATGCTAAGTTAGAAGGGACCCATCAGGATCATCAAGTGCAACTCCTGGCCCTGCACTGGAAGAGTGCAATGTCACTGCTCCTAAAGTGCTGTCCTTGGAGGTCCTCTGCAGTCACACCTGTGGGTGTGGCCAGGTACCTTTCCATCTGCTCAAATGACAAGCTCTCACCTGGACTGTGGAGAGCCAGGTCTGCTTTTTGCTTTGCACAGTGCAATGCATCACACCAATGTCCTGCTGATCTGCCTCTGCTGTTGGCTCCTCTTTAACTGCTGGGTATGGCTCATGACCTCTGCTACCTCCCTCCCCTCTCAGCACTGCCTGTGGCACTCTGTTGTCCTTCTCTTCATCTAATGAGGTAACACCACCGCAACTTCTTCTCAATGATGCCTGTGCTCTCTGAGCTCCCTCTGTTCAGTTGCTAAATGGATCTTCATTGCTAATTTTCCTTGTGCCCCTCTCTGTTTTGACCCTGTTAAAACCTTCTCCTTCAATACACCATTCCTCTCTGTCAAAGCAGAATTTTCCTTAAAGCCTCAATTCTCCACCCACTACTGGGCTCTTCCTGCATAGGTTTGGGTATTTTCCTTGATAATTAGTGTTATGCAGCTCATTTGCTGAGCTTTGTTTCTTTGTTCATTGGCCCTGAGTTTCTCACCAGTCACCACAAAGCCTCCAGCTCCAGCCCACGTCATTTGCTGTGTTTCCAGAAGCCCCCCATGCCCCTGCTCTGTTCCCATCTGCTCCTTCCCTCATGTCCTGCTCTCCTCTTCTGCAATGCTTGCATTTCTGCTCACATCAAGGAGAGAACTAACATCAGAGCAGCTACTGATCAGAGGACATTAAAGTGTGTGTTGCCAGCAATTGAAACCATCCTGCTCCTGCACCTCCACATCAATGCATGGCTGGGCAGTCACTCAGATCAGCACACTCATCCAACATACATTTTCCTGGGGTAATTTCCAGCCAAAGAACTCAGCTCATCTGATTCAGATCACAGAATCTCATGCCAGGTCCGAGTTGATAAGAGGTAACTAGAAGCCCCCAGGGGAGCAGAAAAAACAATGTGAGACAGCCCCTCTTGTCACTACTGCAGCATTAGGGTAGCTAAACAGGACCATGAATCATGCCCTGGGACAAATCAATGACAAGGAGATGCTATTTAGCTTTTTTGAGCAGCCTGATGACTACCACAGGTCTTTTGCCATGCAGGAAGATGTTTAGACTTTTTTCTAAGTAACACTATCAGGGGACCAGAAAAAGCCATATAGAGGTAATTTTGCTCAAAAGCACAATCAGAAGAAAAAATGTGCCCACTGGCTCTGCAGGCATGAAGTCCAGTATCAGCAACAGTAACACAGACCCTGAATCACAGTAAGAGTAATAAATAACAGCAGCAACGAGGACTGCTTTTTTTTTTTTTTTTTTTTTTTGCTAATATGGGGAAACTCTGATGGGACACTGCATGGGTGGGGGTATAAAATGGGTGTAAAATCAGAACAAAATGAAGAATATGGCTCTTAGTCTATGCAGGACAGGCTGTTCAAGAACTCCTTAAAATCAGAGGAAAGTCACTGTATTGCTTGGCACCCGCCCAAAGTGATTTCATTTTCTGTTCAGGATTAAGATGCATTAATAGCCTGAGGGCAGCAGTTTCCTTGCCAAAAAAATGCCTTTCCTCTCCCCCTCCTCCCATTTTGTTTTAAATATGAAGGCTTGCAGGTCAGCAGTGAACACTCAGCGAGTATTACTTGAATTACCAAATGAAAGTGCAGCAATATCATTTTCTTTCAAGCAAACACTGACTTAATTAAAATGTGCACTCTGAACTTGGAAAGTTTCACATTATTCATGAGAAAGGTATGGGTTTGTCTATTGCAAAGGCAAGCTAAAAATAATCAGAGATACAGAACCAGAAGGGTAGCTGTTAAGAGTAAGGCACTAGAACTTTTTCTGGCAAAGCTCTTTCTCCAAGAGTGTCATTTACCCTCAGACCATTCTCTAGTCCCAAACAATATAGCAAAGCTGGAAAAAGCCTTCATGTGAATGTGATTACGTTGGCCACAAAATCCTTTTGGCCAGAAAACTGTGCTCTCTTTGGGGAAACAGCATAATCTGTATGGGCCAAAGCACTTCTGCTGACCAAATTGTGCCCTAGGAGGGGAATAAGGCTGGAAATGTAGGTGAGGGCAGCATCCAAAGGCTGCAGTGAGAAAAGTTTCCAACTCTCAGAGGCCCAGTCCAGTAAATGAGGGCTACTATGCTTCTGCCACAACCTTGTAGACTTGTGTTCTTCCACTGAGTGTCTTTTTCCATAGCAGGGCTAGGATAGCAGGAGGCACATCTGCCATCGCCTACAGCTCTGTACCCCTGTGGGTATCTGTGCAGGTCTCCCTTTGGTTTCAACAGGGAACCAAGGACCTAGACAGCCAGAATATGCAGTGGGACTGGACAGATGTGAAGCCAAAAAAACCTGGAGTGCTCAGCACCACCATTGCTGAGGCAGAGGAAAACTGGCAGCAATTTTCACATTAAGAGAACCAAAGTATTTTCACCTTAAGGTTTTGTTCAAAGGACACTGAAAAGGGAGGAGGAGAATTAGAGCTTATCTTGCATATCACATTAATAAAAGTCTGTACACAGAGTAAAGAGATGACTTACCCTTTCTCCTCCTTCCAACCTCATTTCTATTGCTTTGCTCTTAGACTGGAGATCAATTGATGGGTGAAGTGACATTCCAATATAAAATTTGCCTTCTCTCCACTGCACCTGTCTTTCTCTGGCAGGTTGATCTGAAACCACAAAGTCACGTTAGTCATCTGAAAAATCTTAAGCAAGATGTTTTCTGTCTTACCTGTGTAAATTTGGGCCAATCTCATCTGCTTCAACGCACCCATTGGATAGCTGATGGAAGACAAACATATGAAAAGTACATGGGCAGTAAAGGTCAGCCAGTTTGCAGTACATCCAAGCCAGTTCAAGAGCAAAGGCTTTTTTCTGAGATGAAATGATCTGCAATCCTCCATGCAGGTAAAGCAGGATAGAAATCTCCTGGCAGTAGATGAAATCTGGTCTGCTTGCTTAAATTATGCCTTTATTCCTAGTTTGGAAGAACTGGAGGAATTCTTATAAAAGATGCTTTGAGAATCTGGTAGGTGGGGGCAGGATGCCCAGCAGCACAGTGCATCCATCCCAGAAGCCCTGCCAAAAGACACTGGAGCTGTAGCAGTCCTGGGGGGACAGGGGAACTATTGCTGCACAAATACTGCACTGCAGAGGCTGGCTGGGACTGTATCTCTGACCTAGGACTGAGTATAAGAGTGTGGCCAGTATTTGACATCAGTCTATACCAGGAGACAGGCAGGGATTCCGTCCTCATCTTTCAGAACAGGAGCTCCAGGAATAGCTTCTGCAATATGGGCTGGTACCACACAGGCACTGTGCAGCCTTGTTACACCATCCTGGTCTGCTGGGAAGCATCCATTCATCCCCAGAGAGATGTTCTCTTTCATCTGCCCACCCCTCCATAAAATAAATGGGAGTGTGAGGAATTTGGTACATCTATTCTGTGTTGACTTGAATAAAGAGGAGCATTTGTCTCTCCTCTGAAAGTACCATCTAGCAGATGCCACCCTCAAAGATACTGTGAGACTTTAGGAGGTGTTTTGGAAGAAGTATGGCTATTAAGCAGAATAAAGTATTTTCATCGTAAAAAAGATTTCAACAAACAGGAAGATAACCAACCTCCAACTACAAAATAAAAACAAGGTAAAATATGACTAAGAAAAGAGACAAATTTTATTTCTAAAGGTATTCAGAAGGAGAGAAATTCAGATTGTGCATCGAAATCCCTGCAGGCTCATCCCAGGAGCAGATTAGTATAGGTACCCTTGTAGAATGAATACAGAATAGCTTTTCAAGTGCTAGCTAAAATAACATCCAGATAATAGATCTCTTGGGGCACCCAGGTTTCAACATAATGCTTATCTTGATTGAGGAGGAATCTGAAGGTATGAATGGGCAGAGTGCCATGCTTCTATGGGGGACTCCACATCTGATCCTGACAGCCTGGAACAGCTGGAGGCTAGGAAGATAACATTGTGGTTGTAGCTACAACCTTGAAACTCAAAAAACTGAGTGGCACGGGTGAAGATTAGGCCAGTGGGCTACACCATGGGCAGGATGTGAGAGAAGAAGCCAGTAAGAAACCAACTCTGAGTTTTTCAAACCTCTCATTTCATAGAAGACAGATACAGAAAGCTCTGGTTATGTGTCACCAGTATCTCGAAAATGTGATTGAGAACCAGGATCCTGTAGGGCTGGATGCTGCTCAGAGGACAAAACCCCTGCTATGAGTTTCTGCTGAGAGCTGAGAGAATCCACTCTATGTTAAGGAAGCCTATGGCCAATGTGTCCCTGTGTTGTGGATAGGGAGCAATTCCACCTCATTTATTGGAAGCTTTGTACCATTCTTTGAGGTGTGACTCTCCCTTCAGCAGCTGTCCCAGGGACTTTTGAGGGCTAATTTTGTGAAGCAGTATCAGGCTGCCATAGCTGGATTCACTACTGAAAGCTCTGTGAAGAGCAGATGGGGCCAGAGCAAACATTAACTCCGCTCAAACAACAGTGAGTCCAAAAAGACAGGGGCAGGAGAAAGAGAGAACCTTCTCACAGCAGCTGTTCACCCCCAGCTCTCCTCCTGCCTGCCTTCCTACCACAGTCAGAGATATCCAGCTTTGACTCTAGGGCTGGCAGGCCACTAACTATGGCACTTGACTGCTCCTTGTCACCAGCCTCTTCTCCAGGCTCTGCTACTTGTCAAGGTTGTAAGACAGCTGAGATCTTCATTGGTTTTCCTTGCTTGATTTTTCTAGTTGGGTGAAACAGAGATGGTTTACATAATCTGATCTCCATTTTCTCTTTTTTCCCATTTTTCTTACTGAAAAGCTCATCGTGCCCTCAGGGTGAATGCTAATCCTATATTCTGCTGCAGATTCTGTTTGTGTTGAAATGTCACCTGTGTAAACTTATTTTGCTGAGACCACCATGCAGAGTTTGGTTCATGGAGACTTGCATCTATACTGCGGAGGCCAAAGGGTTATCAAAATAGAAGTATCTTCCAAAAACCACCACAAAAAATGCCAGCCAGTGGCACTACAGAATAAAAGGAGACTTGCTGGAAGCTGCTGCATGGTAAGCAGATGAATCTCCTGCCCTGACCCCAGCATTGCTTCTGTGATGGTGAACAAAAGCTACCACTGTCCCTCCATGCATGGGAAGGTTGTGTCTCTCTCAGCTGCAGAACTGCCTGTTGTCCTCACCAATGCTTTAGCCAAGTGATGGCTCCCTCAAGGTCAGGTTGTGTCTCTATTATTAAATAAAACAGAATGAAAGATTCAAGGGCTGTGGGACATGTGCATCAAGTCATGTCGAGCCACCTAAATTCTCCACCAGCACAGGGTAGCTGTGTTCAAACCCCTCTTGCCTGTTGGTACATCTGTAGACCTAGAGATGCTGCCAAACACCAGGAAAGGTGCTACCTATATTCATGCAGTAAGTTTTTCAGAGCCTTAAAAGTGCATCCTGGGCTTGATCCCAGACCTATCCAGGGAGCTCTGAGGTGAACAGAAACTGACACCAGACTCAGGGTTAATCAGTTCATAAGAAAATAATTTGGAACTGCTCTTCCCCAAGTTCTCATTTAAATGGTATGCAGCCATTTTCCAGGCCAGAGCTGACTGGCACAAAAAGGGTGGCCAGGGAATATAACCATTAAGTCATATGGAAATTGAGCTTTGCCAGTATAGACAAAGCCTCTGCTAACACAGCTGGCCAGACCTGGTGAACTTCTGCAGAGGCTCTGACTGACTGGTAGCCCAGTTCAATCAGCCAAGGGCAAACCATGCCCCTGGAAACAAGCCATAACAATAAAGAGAAAACATGTTTAAAAGAGAACTAACTCAGTTTAAAACTTTTAATGTAGGGCTGTGTGTGTGTCAACCAGGATCACTCAGCACAGGGAAGGCATAACAAATATCCCTGGCTGAGGTGCCGTGAGATCTCCTGGAAGCCCGAAGCTCATTTCATTCATGCTTCTGTGTGCAGCAGCAAAACCATATGCCAAGCACTATCTGCAAATTGAAGTGTCTAAGCTCCCTCCTGGGCAAGGGAAATGTCCTAGCTTTGTGAACAAAGGCATTGTTTAAGACTGGAAGTGGAATTGAACATCTGAAATAAGGAACAACTCAAAAAATATGTCTTTCTCCTTCAAATTTTATCTTTTGCCTCACAGTCAGTGCAGGCTTGGGAAACAAAATAAATGCTTCTGCCACACTCAGGCAGTACTCATACTTCTCTTTTGAGGGACGAGAAGAGCTGCTCATGCAGAGGCACAGGAGAGATGGAGCTTTAGCAGACTCCTTCACCGGCCTCTGCTGATGCATTTCATCCCCCAGCTCTGCTGAGCCCACTCCTCCAGTACAGAGGCAGAGGAAAGGTGGGAGCACACTGCTACTGTTGAGACTCACATCAGTGCAGTAGTCACAACTTTGATCTTCCCTCCAGCCAAGCAGTCTGGGAGATGGAGGCACTTGCAGGTGGGGCTCTCAAGGCACTGCACACCTCTCCTCACCATCCTGTTACACTGCAGAAGACTAGTCCTTGAAGAAGAGCTACTTCATCCTTAGAATCAGAGTAACATAGAATGATTCAGGTTGCAAGGGACCTTAAACACCATCTAGCTTCAATTCCTCTGCTATGGGAGGGGCACTTTCCACTGGACAAGGGTTTCTGAAGGACCATGAAGGGAATTTGCACAGGAAAAAGAACTGAGGCTGATGTTCCCAGTGCAATATTTTCCTTTTCACAGCTAAATCATGTGAAAACAGCTAGAATGTTGTGTGAAGTTTCTTTCAAAAGTTGGGGGTGTTTTTTGAGAATGAACACATGACATTGCAACATCCGCTAAATAACAAAGATTTAAAGCTGCCTGAGATGAGCACTTCTGCATTTTGTTTTCATCTAATGAGGACATAATAAAATATAAGAGTTTATAGGAGCCTATAGTCTACCAGACACTATAGGAAATACAGGAATATTTCCTGAAGGGTAGATATTGTTTACTAAACCACCTTCTGATATACAATAGACTTCCCATAAGTGACTAGTCTGGCACCAAAATGAGTGTTTTAGTGTGGTGGAAGTGGGAGTTACAAGTAAATGAATTCTAAAATATTAAAACATGCAGCCATGTCACCTCCCAGACAGAAAACCTTCCCAGCATCAGGCTGCTGTCTGTGATCCTCCACTGCATAGAAAAGAAGCCTCTTCTACAAAATCATGTTTCCCCATCAGCTGCAGGGAAACAGACTTTCCATATCTTTTGCTACTGCATTATTGCTATGATCATACAGGGACCAATGAACCGAGACAGTATGTTAGTATGTAGTTATAAAAAATCCCTTTGCAAGTTGAATCTATGTAGGCTAGATGTCTATTTGGGTAGAAAAGGCTGGTTTTAAATATATAATGGAATAAATAAATAAATAGTTTCAGGGATTAACATACTGAGTGTATGTCACAAATATATAGTTTCCAAACAAGAAACATTTATGCAAAACTGAAGAATAGACTAGAAACTGAGAGGACTCTTTTCTAGCAATTCAGAATCCATAGAAGTTGCTTCCAAATGGCAAGAATATCTTTTGTTTCTTGTGCAAAAAACAGCAATTTGTTTTTTGTCCTGCTTGTGCTTAGATGATTCTGAATTTCCTAATTTTTGATTTCTTGAAAT